AAATGTGTTAAGTGAAAGAAGCCAGACATCAAAGATATGTATTGTATTATTTCATTTGTGTGAAATCCAGGAATGGATAAAAACTAAACTTTGTTGGCAGAAATCAGAAAGTGCTTAACTGAAAAGGGTAGAGCTGATATGAAGGAACTTTTTCAGATGATAAAAATTTTCTGTAGCTTGTTTTGGGTGAGCCTAAAAATGTCAATTATTTTGAAGATGTGGAGCAATCCTATCACTTATTCATGCCTGTAATGCATATTGATACAGCTACTTTGGAACACAATTTGTAATCCTATCTAATAATAGACAAACATGGTAATTAACCGTACCTCCGACATGCTTCCCATTGGCTAATCAGGGCGATATGCAAATTAACTGCCAACCAAGATGGCGGCCAGCAGCCAGGCAGCTGAAGCGAACAGGAGGCTTGCTTGCTCCAGTGAAGGAGGAAACCAAGGTTCCCTGCCTGGGCTCTGAGCTTGCACTCTAAGAAACAATGTTACAATTATAGAAGCTAAACAAACCCCATGCTTTTAGCCAGCCGGCCGAGCTGGAGTTGCAACAGTGTTTCAATTATAGAATCCAAACAAACCCAGATAGCTGCTTTCAGCAGCCGAGGTCTCACAGCTGGAGCCGAGCCTCAGAGCTAAAGCCAGTTCTCAGTTCCAGTGATAGCCATAGAAGGTAAATAAATCTCAGAATAACAAAGAAAAGAAAAAAATGAGAGGTGGGGAGCTTCAGTCACCCGCCAGCCTGAAAACAGCCCTCAGCCCCTCACCCAGACTGGCCAGGCACCCCAGTGGGGACCCCCACCCTGGTCTAGGACACCTTCAAGGCAAACCAGCCGGCCCCCACCCGTGCACCAGGCCTCTATCCTATATAGTAAAAGGGTAATATGCCTCCCAGCACTGGGATCAGCAGAGCTGCGAGGCCTCCTGGCACCGGGAACAGTGGAGCCATGAGGCCTCCTGGTCCCTGGAGCAGCGTGACAGGGGGCAGCGCCAAAACCTCCTGATCGCCCTGTGGCTCTGTGTGTGACAGGGGGTGGTGCCCCAACTCCCCTATCGGCCCTACTCTGTGTGTGACAGAGGGGAGCTCCCCAACACCCTGATCAGCCCTGTTCTGTGTGTGACAGGGTACGGAGCCCCAACCCCCGTGATGGGCCCTGCTCTGTGCGTGACAGGGGGCAGTGCACCAACCTCCCCATCATCCCTGCCTTGAGTGTGACAGGGGGCAGTGCCCCAACCCCCCAGTCGGCCCTACCCTGAGTGTGACTGAGGATGGCATCGCAACCTCCCAATCCGCCCTGCTCTGTGCATGACAAGGGGCAGCACCCCAAATCCCCAATTGGCCCTGCTCTGAGCCCAACCAGGGGCTGCACCTAGGGATTGGGCCTGCCCTCTGCCACCCGGCAGTGGGCCTAAGTCAGCAGGTCATCATCTCCCGAGGGGTCCCAGACTGTGAGAGGGCGCAAGTGGGGCTGAGAGATCCCCCCCACCCCCGGTCAGTGCACAAATTTTTGTGCATCGGGCCTCTAGTTATCTAATAATATTGAGCATGCACATACCCTGTAAGTCAGCAATTCTACTGTTAGATATATTCCCCATAGACATTTCCTTAAAAAAAACAAGTAAAAACAAACCAAACGTCCATAACATAAAATTAGATATATTTATAAAATTGAATGTCATATAATAATAAAAATAATGAACTATGGGTACATGTGCCCACTTGAATGAGTAATATTGCACAAAAAGGGAGCCCTAAAACATACAAAATTTAATAATATATTGTTCAAGAATCTATAACATTCATGGTAAAACTGTAAAAAAAGGCAAGGACATAGTTAATTGCAATTGTAGAATAGTGGGTCCTTCAGTGAAGGGTGGGAGTGTGGGATGTAAGAGGTAAAGACTCAGGACACATCAAAGGTACTGGTAATGTTCTATTTCTTAGTCTGGGTAGTGGGTATAAAAATTCCACTTATTATTCTTAAAACTGTGTTTGTATATTCCTTAGTATGTATGTTGTATTTCACAATAAGACCTCTTTTAGAAACCAAGCTGTAGTTCTATATTAATTAAGACACATTTAAAAAATAATATTCACCCTAGCCAATTTGACTCAGTGATTGGAGCATTGGCCCTCAGACTGAAGGATCCTAGGTTCGATTCCAGTCAAGGGCATATACCTCCGTTGCAGGCTCGATCTCTGGCTCTGGTCAGGACTCATGCAGGAGGCAACCAATTGATGTGTCTCATTCACATCAATGTTTCTCTCTGTCGCTCCCCCTCCCTTCCACTCTCTAAAAAATAAATAGAGAAAATATCTTTGGGTGAGGCTTAACAACAACGAAATAATAATTTTCATCCTCCTGCTTGTCTGTTGTTGTAGGAGAGAAAGAGGCCAACACACAGGCAGAAAATGAGATGAGAAAAAGAGTGACAATATGGAAAAGAGTCTTTAATATATTGAAACTGGTTGTGACTGAGGAAAACACTATCTATACTATGTTTTATTATATCTTTCATTCTGAATTAGGTTCATTTCACTGACCATCCAGAGTCCTAAATTTGTGTTTACTTATACATGATTTATCTCTCCCACTAGACTATAAATCTCATGAGAGCAGGGACTCTTATCTCTCTTGTTCACTACTAAATTTCCAGTTGCCTAGAACAGTGCCTGGCATATAAGCACTTATTATATATTTACTGAATGAACAATAAACAACCTAATTAAAATTTGGTACCTCTATATACTAGTATGTACTTCTTCTGTTATAGCACTCATAATTGTCTTTTTGTATGTATCCACCATTAGATCTAAAGACACCATTATATCAATAGTACCTAGCAAAATTCCTAGTATATGATGAGTGTCAATAAATTCAATTAATATTAAATACATACATAAAAACAATTTTTTTGCTTTTTAAAACTTTATTTCAACATAACATAGAAACGGTTGTTTTCTCTGCAATGCTATCTCTATTTCAAACTATCCTTTGTTTGAAAGTCAGAGCTTTCTTTAATAACTTTAGAATTAATTTGAGCATTAAGCCTGCCTGCTTAAAGCCCTTCCATAATAATAACAGTATACTTCTATGGTGCTCACTATGTGGCCAGGTACTATTCTGAGTGCTTTTTATATATTAATTTATTTAATTCCCATAGCAATCCTACGGAGATGAAATCATCCTCATTTTGCAGGTGAGGAAATTGAGACAGAGAGAAGTTAAGTAACTTGCCTAAAACTACACAGCTAGTAGCCGTAGAGCAATGATTCTAACCTCTTCAGTCTATGCTCTTGACCATAATTCCATAATGCCTATAGTGGATTTGTAAAGCATGTGGTAAAATCCAAAATCCTCAAACTGCAAATAAGGCTCCTCACAATGCCATCTCCAGGATCTTTTTCCACCACTCCCTTCTATAAATCCTAGGCTCCAAATGTTACCCAATATTTCTGAACATACTGCCTTACATAGCTACAAGCCTTTGGACATATTGTCCTTTTATCTTTTTTTCCTCTTGGAAAACTTCTATTCACTTTTCAAACCCAGCTAAATATGTCTTCTCTGTGAAGCCTTTCTTATTTTATGCTTTCTTATCTGCATTTCTTCAAATTTTGTGGCTCTTATCACATTACTAGGGGCCCGGTGCACAAAATTTGTGTTTGTGTGTGTGGGGGGGGTGTTTCTCAGCCTGGCCTGCACCCTTTCCAATCTGGGACCCCTCAGGAGATGTCTGACTGCCGGTTTAGGCCTGATCCTTGTGGGACAGGGCAGTCAGACATCCTTCTCGCAATCCAGGACCGCTGGCTCCTAACCGCTCACCTGCCTGCCTGCCTGATTGCCCCTAACTTCCTCCCCCCACCGGCCTTCTCACCTCCAACTGCCCCTCCTTGCTGGCCTACTCACCCCCAACTTCCTTCCCTGCTGGCCTGATCACCCCTGAACTTCCCCCACCCTGCTGGCCTGCTTGCCCGAAACTGGCCCCCCCTGCTGGCCTGCTTGCCCCCAACTGCCCTCCCCTCCCAGCCTAGTCGCCCCTAACTGCCTGTGCCTCAGCCCCACCACCATGGCTTTGTCCAGAAGGACGTCCGGAAGATCTCCTGATCTAATTAGCATATTACCCTTTTATTAGTCAGATGTTCTAATTTTTCGTTTATGTTTTTCTTCTCTACTAACTTTGGGATCATCTAGGTCTGGACTCATGTCTTATTTGTTTATGTACACTAAGTGCCAAAACCAGTGTTGCCATATTTAAGGCACTCAAAAAATGTTTGTTAAACAAATGAATAAACATTAAGTTCAACTTGAGTTCAATATTCAAGATGTATAATGAAACTTTGACATCTTAGCATTTTGTTGCTATTTTACTATTAATGTTATAAAACCTCTAAAGTATTTGTTTTGTTTATCTACATCAGTTTTAAGTTTCTACTGGTCTCTCCCTTGTTTTATGTCGCACTTTTTTGACATTTAGATTAAAAAAGTTAATTATGTGTCTGCCTTTTACACTTTACTAACTAGCTAGCATCTTGAATGTAGGGTTTATATTACTGTCCTCAATGTAGTGGGGGAGGGGGGGGTGAGGGAGGGGGAGGGCAGAGCTTCTAATATAATGAAGGCTTAATAAATCCTTAATTTTAATTAGTTAGTTCTGTTAGATTATCTGGTTATCTGAGTATCCTCTTATCTCCATATCTCTTTCCTCTGATAGGCCTGGCAATTTTGCTTTGTTTTTCTTAGACTTTTCTCTTCACCCTGTAACAATCACAATATAGAGATATAGGGAGGCAACTATGCAAGGAGACATTTTCATTTAGTTTTTCAGTGTCATATAATGTAAACACTAACTAGTTTGAGTATTTAAATTTAGCTCATGTTATTGTCCCTCAGACTGAAAAATAACTGTAGATATCCTTTCAAAACTGAAAGACAACAATGCTAATGACATGGTATCAAAAAAATATTTGAAAACATTGCACTCTACCTGTAATTGGAATATTCCAGTATGAAAATTTCGAGAAATAAAAACACACTGAGAATGAGCTTTACTCTCCACCTCTGATGGTCTTTGGCTGCATCTCTCATCGGTTTCTTTAAATTGGGAATTTTGAAATATTTCTCTGAAAAATATTTTATAGAGACTGTTATTTAAAATGAATTACATTATCAACCAGTTAAAATTATTTTGTTTCCAATGGTTTTACCACAAGTGTTTAAAATTCAGAATAAATATATTACTAAAAAATTTTAAAGCAAAAATCAATTTATATATTTGCTTCTGATATGTTACTGATCTCACTATAACTAGTTTATTCTTAGAATGTAAATTAAACCCCCTCTTATGCAGAGTTAATATTTATAGTTTGAAGATCAACCATGAGTTTTTCTAAATTTAAAATTTTTTCCAATTACAGTTTACATTCAATATTATTGTGTTATTCTGTATTGGTCTCTGATGTGCAGTATAGTGCTTAGAAAACCATGTACTTTACAGAGTGGTCCTCCCCCTCTTACCCCCAATATTTTAAGTATCCACCTGCTCCATACACAGTTATTACAATATTATTGTTTATATCCCCTATGCTGTAATTTACATCTCCGTGACTATTCTGAAACTACCAATTTGTATTAATCCCTTCACCTTTTCACCCAGTCCCCAACCCCCTCCCCTTTGTCAACTGTCAGTCTGTTCTCTGTATCTACGAGTCTGTTTCTATTTTGTTTGTTTATTTTGTTCTTTAGTTTCCATATATGAGTGAAATCATATGTGACCATGAGTTTTTTATATCCTTCTTTCTGGTTGAGAGATAATTGATTGGTTTTAATGTTAATTAGTCTTTTCATAAGTTTGTCTTTAATGACAAAGGAAATAAGTGAAATAAAACTCAATGGTCAATTTTATATTGAATAATGTCTCTGACAAAAGTAAGTGGAAAGGAACTAAATTGAAACTGATGACTTACAAAAGAAGGGTACCTGTGCTCTTTATTCGTACAACCACAAACAATTTTGAGAGAGGGTTTAAAATAATAAGGCAGCAAATAAAACCCCAGATGATCAAAGACAGTTATGTATAAGGGAATGTAGTTTCTAACAGTCATTTTAAACTTAATGATTTAAATAATAATGTTAATTGCCATTTCTTCTTTCAGAGATTCTAGAGAATTTCCAAATTAATTCTAGAGTCTATATATGTTACTTAATGAGGTATTAACAATTAAGGTTTATTCAGTCATTGAATTCAATTACTTAACAGTTATTGAGTACTTACTAAGTGTCAGGCATTGTGCTGGGAGTTGTATATATAGTGGCAAAGGAAATAAACAGTTACTACACTCATAGAACTGTCATTGCTCTCATGGAACTTAAACACTAGTAAGGAAGACAGACAATAAAATAATCACAAGAAAATAAAAAAAATTGCAAGTATGGAAAGTGTTATCAAGGAAAGCTACCTGGTGCTGTGTGCATACTGTATAATGAAGGAAATTAATCTGGTTAGAGAGGTCAGGGAAGGCTTTCTGAGGAAGGGATAGTTAAATTAACATGTGAAGAGAGTAATTGTTAGATAGTGTGGTGCAGGAGGAGAGATGTGGAAGTAAGAATATTCTAGTCAGAGAGAAAATCAAGTCCAAAGTCCTAGTGGCCAGATTCGAACATTGTAGTAGAAGCACAGAAAGCAAGAGAGAAAATGGAAGATAAATTTAGGGAATATGCATGGGAAGACCATGTAGGGATGTAAAAGTCATGTCATTTTTGTCTTTATCCTAAAAGTAATGGTAAATCTTTTATAATATAGTCAGGAATGGGGTACAAGGGTGGGGTCACTTTTATTTGGACAATGTCTGCCTTAAGTATGGAGAAAAGATTAAACAAGGGTGATAGTGAAAGTAGGGTGTCACTTATAACTCCTACTGCAGTAGTCTATGTGGGGGATAAAATCCGGGTAAGGTAGTGGTAGTAGAAATGGATAGATCGCTCTCTTTCTCCCCGCCCCCTCTTCCTCCATCGCTCTCAAATCAATTAAAGCACACACACACACACACACACACACACACACACCACTCCCTGGTTAGTCTCATCCAGTTCTATGCCTTTAGAGAGCCTAAATCTTCAGCCCTGACTTCTCTCATGAAATTCATATATGTCAAATCCAACTGTCTATTTAAAATTTCCACTTGGATGTCTAATAGGCTTTCAAAAGTACATCCAAAACACAACTCCTAGTTTATTACCACTCCCTCAGCTTACTCTCTCCTCTAATCATCTCCTTATCCAGTAAATGGCATGAACAGATGCTCAGTTGCTCACAGTACCTAGGTGTTAGCATTAATTTGGCCATTTCACTTATTTTTCCTTACCTCATGTAATTCAACAAGCCCTGTAACTTAACCTGCAAAACATATTCCAAATCCAACACCTTCTTCCCTTCTCCTCTACTTCCATATTCGTCAAGGCACTATCATCTCTCACCTGGACTATGCAAAGCCTCCTAACTTGTCTCTCTGCTTTCACTCTTGCTCCATTAAAAATCATTAAAATTCAGGCTTCATAGGCAAGAAAAATCTTTTAAAAATATAAATCAGAACTTTCATACATTTCCAGTTGGAGTGTATACCAACTTGGAAAAACTGGCAGGTTCTTACAAAGTTAATCATGTGATCCACTCAGGTATTTATTCAACAGAAGTGAAAGCACATGTACAAAAATATTTATACAAGAATGTTCACAGCAGCCTTATTCCTAACAGCTAAAAACTTGAAATGACCCAAATGTCCATTGACAGAGGATAAATAAACAAACTCAGATGTATTCATACAATGGGATACTAGTCATCAATAAAAAGAATAAACTGCAGATAAAATACAGGAACATAAATAAACCTCAAAAATATGGTAAGTGAAAAAAGCAGGCATAAAGTCCATATGATTCCATTTACATGAAATTCAAGAATAGGCAAAATTAATCTATGATGATAAAAACTAGAATAATGATTGTCTCTGGGTAGAAGGAGGGAGTAATATCTGGAAAGGAGCATGAGGGAACTTTATAGGGTGATGGAAAAGTTCTATATCTTTACTGGGATTGTGGTTACATGGGAATGTGTTTGTTGAAATTCATCATAATACATTTAAAATCTATGTACTTTTTTGTATGTGAATTATATCTCAAATTTTAAGAAGTGTTTAATTCATCTATAGGTGACATTATTACCTTTAATATGAGAATACTATTATGAAGTCTAAATGAGATAACATGTAAAGAACATACATGCTTAGTATGTAATAAACATTCAATGTTAGCTATTATTATGATGAATATGTGTCATTCCCCTGTTTAAATCCTGATATCACAAACAGTAAAATGAAACCTCCATATTCTAGCCCAGCGATTTTCTTTTCTTTATTCAATTTAAAAATTTTTATTGTTGACTAGTCCAGCAATTTTCAATCAGTATGCTGCATCACACTGGTGTGCTGCAAGAATTTTTAAAACATGCTGATAGCTGACTATTTAGTCAGGAGCACTGACCTATTTTCCCTTATATTGTCAAATAAAATAATGACAACAGCCAATGCAATAGCTGTCTAGTGTGAATGAATCAAAATTATACCTATTTTTTGTCAGATTGGCAAAAATATATTTTTTAGTGTGTCACAGAATTTTAGTAATTACTTCATGTGTACAATGAGATGAAAGGTTGAAAAGCAGTATTGAGTTACACCCCCCCCCCCAATATTAAAAATGGAACTGCCTTATGACCCAGTAATTCTACTTCTGGGAATATACCCAAAGAACTTGAAACACTAATTTGAAAAAAATATATGTACCCCTATGTTCAGTGCAGCATTATTTACAATAGCCAAGATTTGGAAATAGCCTAAGTGCTCATTAGTAGATGAGTGAATAAAAAAGGTATGGCACATTTACAAAATGAAATACTACTCAGTCATAAAGAAAAAGGTGGGGGAGGGGATCTTATCCTCTGTGAAAGCATGGATGGACCCGGAGAGTATTATGCCAGTCAGAGAAAGACAAGTACCATACAATCTCACTTATGTAAACTAACAAACAAAATAGAAACAGACTCATAGATACAGAGAACAGACTGACACCTGTCAGAGGGGAGGGGGTTGGGAGGTTGGGTGAAAAAGTTGGAGGGATTAAGCAAAACCAACTAAACAAACAAAAAAACCCACAAACAACTCATAGACCCAGACAACAGTATGGTGATTACCAGAGAGACAGCAGCATGGGGAGAGGTAGGAGAGGGTAAAGGGGGCGTAAATGGTGATGGAAGGAGACGGGACTTGAGGTGGTGAACACAGAATACAATATACAGATGATGTATTATAGAACTGTACACCTGAAACCTATATAATTTTATTAACCAATGTCACCCAATAAATCCAATAAAAGAACAAAACACCAAATTTTAGGTTAAAAGGCACTGAGGTGTTAAGTATCTTTTTTTTTCTGTGTCTGGGAAAAGACTACAGATCTTTTCTTAAGTATCTTCTGAAGAAAGGGAGTCTTCCTGTCAATTATGTTTTTAACCTCTATTAGTAGTGAAAGCAATTTTAAATTTCTGGCCTTATACTATAATTCAAACATATGTCTTCTAGAAAATACAATAGATCTCATTATTTCTTAAAATTTTAATGCATGCAGATTGCTATTCTACTATTTGGACAATCATACTACTAAAACTTTTTCCTTCAGGCTACTATAAACATGTAAAGCTTTCCCTCCCAATCAAAGGGTCGATAACCAAATCTCAAATTACAGAACCAACACTATTTTTGTTATTTAAATTTAATACCATTTGAAAAACTCTTTCATTGGATTTATAAAAGAAAAAAAAAGTAAAATATTCCGATAAACCTTACCTTCGTTTGCAAATCAGGAACCACAAAGCTGATGCCAAAGCAAAGAAACCAATTCCAAAAGCAACAGCAGAAGCAGCCAGAAAATAGGTTAAGTGATTAGAAAAACCTATACAAATAAATTATAAAAGAATATTTCATGCATGCATCTTCAATCTCTAGGTCAAATTAAATAATACATTTCAAATGATACTATATAGTGTAGCGTTAAGACATTAACTAGAAAGTTGGGAGACCTGGATTCGGCTCCTGGGCAATTCTCATAAATTTTATGATCCTAGTCATGCTGATTAGGGCCCAGTGTGCATAACTCTGACCCTGCCAGGATTTCCTCCGTTTTGTTTGTTTTTGTATGGCTGTCATCTCCTTTTTTCTGATCTAGGTTTCTCCCTTCCCAACCCAGCTGAGAATTTTTATTTTTCTGGTGTCATTCTTTGCAGTCTTCCAGAATAACATACTTCATTTAAAGATTTTGATTATCAATCACTACAAAAAGTTAGGTGAGGATAATAAAGAATAAGTATAAGGAATTTATGAAGATCTTAGGAATTTTAAAACATTTTATCCATACTTTATCTCAAGAACAGTAAAATATCATAGCCAACCCTAAATAAAAGCAATATAAAATAATAACATATCAAAGGTTTATAATTGGGAAAAGGTTATAGGATTTATAGGTATAACTCTTTCATTAAAATTGAGCCCCTGGTATTCCTAGCTGGTTTGGCTTAGTGAGTAGAGCATTGGCCTGCAGACTGAAGAGTCCAGGTTCAACTCTGGTCAAGGGCACATTCCTGGTTTGCAGGCTTGATCCCCAATAGGGGGCATGCAGGAGGCAGCCAATCAATGATTCTCTTTCATCATTGATGTTTCTATCTCTCCCTCTCCCTTCTTCTCTGAAATCAATATATCTATATCTATATCTATCTATCTATAGAGATAGATAGATATAGATATAGATATATTTATTTATTTATTTATTTAAAATTGAGGCCCAGGTAAGAGAAGTAACTGACTAAGATTAGGTAGCAAATTAAAGCCAGTCCTCTGTTTTCTGGTTTTGTTTTTTTATTATCTTATTATCAATAATCTTAATACTAGTTTGTATTCAAAAGAAATAGGAATAAAGAAAGGTAATTATAGTCAAATTGGTCAAGTATTCATTAAGATTCTGAAATCTGCTGTAGAAACTTTCACAGAAGGCTGTATAGAATTTGAAGGGCCTTAAAACAACCTAGGAATGTATTATTTGAGAACAAAAGGGTTTAAAATTATAAAACTAACAGATGATTTTTATGTATAAGCATATTGTAAGTTCCAGTAGGGATATGACATGATAAAGACTTGCTCCTATATTTTAATTTCTTCCTAAGTAATTTCCAGCTTCCAAGAATCTTAGTTTTTTCCTTAATTTCCAGCTTCGGAAATCTGAGTTTCCTGGGGTTCATATATATCTATATTTGAGAATTAATGGTACCAAAAAAGTTACATAAGGCTATATATCAAAATGATACTAATATTTTTTTAAAAGCCCTCCAAATGCCCCATATTAGGAAGTTAATTAAATTATGATATTATAAAATAAAATATTCTTTAATTATTTAGTGCAGGGCTTCTTAAACTCAATACTATTCATCTTTTGAACAAGATAATTTGTTGTAGGGATGGTCGGGCGTATTGTACCAAAGATGTCTCCTGACAATTACAAATGCACGCTGAGAGGTAGGCAAAATTGTTCCCAGTTGAGAATTACTGACATAGTGGTATAAAATGTCAGATAGTATTAAATGATAAAAGCAAGATAGATAAAACCCATATTTAAAAAAATTTCAAGATATAGTTGTACTCAAATACCAGACAAGGATATCCATGAACAAAAGAAGGAAAGCAACAGAGAAAAAAGTGGAGGCTAAAACCATAGGCATATTAGGCACTGAGTGAGATCTGGAAGCAGGAATTAGCTAGAAGCAGCAAAGAACATCACCGAGACAAGACTAAACACTCTCTGGCACAGTGAATGGAGATATTACCAACATCTTTTAGAGAAGGGATTCCCGAGCCACCAATAAAAGACCAAAATGGACAAAGGAGGAATCTTGGAAATAAAAAATTCAAAAATGTTAAGATGGAGTAAACTCTTCCTTGAATACAGTTAATGAAATAAAAATAGTACAAAGTGATTTGTCCAATTGTATACAGAAATAAAAATATGGTAAATAAATTATACTACTTGGAAAATATTAAGAGTATGTAACAAACTTAAAGCTAATACGGGTTCCAAAAGAGAGAATAGAGAAGTAGCAGAGAAGCAGTGTTCAGAGATATGACATAAGATTTTGACTAAAAAAATTTAAATTCACAAACAGTAAATTTGCATGTGTTTGCAGTTTTATAAGTTTTAACAAATGCAAAGAGTGTTTGATCACCACCACAATCAACTTACACAACACTTCCTTCACCCCCTGAAAATTTCCTCCCACTGCCTGTAAGCAGCCGAGCACTAACTATCAACCACTGATTATTTTCCGTCCATATTTTCCAACCTTGTACTGTTGCCTTCCCAGAATTTCATATAAATGGTATCATACAACATGTGGCCTTTTGAGTCTGGCTCTTTTTCACTTAGCATAATGCAATTAAGATTCATCCATGTTATTGCATGTATCAATAGTTTGTATCTTTTTATTGCTAAGTAGCATTCAATTTTATAATGTACAACAGTTTGTTTATTCTCCAGCTGAGAGAAGTTTGGTTGTTTCCAGTTTGGAGTTGTTAGGAATAGAGCTACTATATAATATA